ACTGGTGTACAATTCACAGTCTACCGGTTCCGAAGCCCCAACACTGTAGTTTTTCACACTGTTTTTGTCTGAATGTCATTTTCGCTGTCCGTTCCAGACCTTTTGGTAACATTTGCTAGGTTTCGGGGTTTTTCCACGATCCGTAAAAATATCCCACAAATTATAAGTTGCCGCGAAAATTTTCGTCGCAATAGTTTACTCTCAGTTACTAAGCGCGCTGTGAATGGGCAATTTAGCGGGCTGTATTCTACTATGCGGTTTTCTGTATTCTACTATAGCAGTTTTTTTATGTCAAAATGTTTCGTGATTTATCGCCAAGTGTCCTTAACTTTTACAACAAGTAAAACTTTTTTTGTTACTTTAAATTGTGTATTAAAACGTGCTAACGGCCTAACAACGATTTCAAATTGACTCGTTACAATTCCGTCTTTCGACGTACGTCAGAAATTTGAAGCCGTCCTGCGTGAATAGAAATCGTTCCCTGAACACATCAGGCACACATTAGAGATAACTGTAGTAAATATCTTACTATTAACGTCGTCTTCTCGGTCCATTCTGTAAGTTACGGATTCTCGTATTTTTTTCCCTTTGATTTAATAATGGCCCGCCCGCTCCGCGCTTGGGTCGTAAATTGAAGGGAAAAAAAACGAAGATCCGTAACTTACAGTCGGTTAGTAAGGAGTATATAATATGTAATAAAAATAAACTAAAATGTTGTAATTCCAATTATTATATGGCTCTGTCTCCCAAGGACTGGAAACTACCAAATTCACGAATTTGATTGGCTGAAATCGATATTGAAAGCGGTCTAGATTTTCCCGTCTACATTTAGACCGGCATCTAGACGGGTAATGTTTTGCAGTGAAAACGTTGCAAAGTAAAATGCGAAATCACTAACTATTTCATCAAACAATACTTATTTATGGAAGTGCCAAAAAGTCTGGTGAGAAAAAAACAGTAAAGAGGACGAGCAAACTTTGACAGAATTAAATTTAGCTCATCGCCGTTCGCAAGCAAAACGTCAGTTAGTACAAACCAGTTACATTAAACGAAATCAATTGTTCTTGTTTGCGCCATATAATAAACATCGTAGTCGGTCTATATGGGAGAATCACTCGGGTCTTGTGTACAGACCTCACTGCGTTCGGTCTGTACTCACGTTCTCGGTCAAGATTCTCCCATACAGACCTCCTGGTCCCCCTGCTCGGTCAATAAGAGCCAATTAAACATGGCTTCCTGAATATCACAAAAATCTATACTCAGCAAACAACAACAACAACAACAACAAAACAGTCTTTTACAATCGCAAAAATTATTTCCCGCAAAATACAAAAAAAAACGCCGATACACAAAATTAGCTCCCGCAAAAATTTCGTGCCACGTAGCACGTCACCTAAAGCAGCTCAGTGATATAAGTTTATCGTATCTAGTAATGTATATGAAAAAATTACTCAATTCTGATTAGCTGAGAGCAGTGCAAATTACACATCGTTATTCTGGATTATGATTGGCTGAAAGACAACAGGAAATTTTCTAAGCCAATGATACCACTTGAAATGATGATGAAAATTTTGTGCCGAAACTTTGAAAAAAGTTTTCTCGAATGAAAAAAAAAATGGCTTCAAGAAAGATATTTCAGCACTTCCTCCATGCAAATTTTTCCATGTTTATATACGGTTTTCCTCGTTCAATTTGGAAATAATTTGCACTTGTGGGTTTTTCAAACAGTTAAAATTGCACTCGCCGAAGCGGCTCGTGCAATTTCAGCTTTTGAAAAAGTCACTCGTGCAAATTAATTCCAAATTGAACTCGAAACCGTATGATTACCTCTACTAATAATATATATATATTTTTTCGACTTTCTCTCTTTTACGTTTAAAGATGAAATACCCGAAGGAAAGCAATGAATGCATCTGAAACCGTCAGACGCATAGCAACATTTTAGGCCATGTCATACCCGTTGGGGGCTCAAAACTGCAGACAAACCTCGTTCCCACACAGGGGTTTTCCCTTCGAGATTGGGATAGCCTGCGAGTGGACTGGGAAGAGGCATGTGTAAGATGGCCGCTCAGCTCTGGGACCTCTGTTTCGACATGTGTAACGCGTCTTTTATTTTTGCAGGGTTAGGGGCATTGTTTTCACCTCTAATTCTTTTAAAATACTACGACAGGGACTGGGAATGTTCAAATGACAAACAGCTTTTGCGATGACGAAATCAAATATTTCTCTTTTACACAGATAAATAAACGCTCTCATTCTCCGGTTTTCAAGGCTTTTTGTCAATTCGTTGTGGTGCTCAAAAATCCACTTTGAAGCACCTTCACTATTATTCTTCGTTTTCAAAATAAACAAGGTTTTTTAATTGCTTTTGTAGTCAGTGAAATGAAACGGTATGGTGGATGATTTTATACGGCCGTGCGTTAGCTAACATTGTTGATATGTAGCCTCGACTGAGCTGGTTGCCCCTTGTTTGCTCGCAGTGTAGTTGATATGATGCGCGCTTGGGCTATTTTCATTGATGTTTGCATCCATAACCCGATGGACACACGCTATTTTGACCTGAAGCTATTTTTAGGAACCAAGGGGGTATCATGTAGAGCTAGTCGCCCGAGATGTCCAGACCCCGGGGGGGGGGGGGTTACTTGACCCATGTTTGGGTATAGGGGTGCCGCCTAGGGCTTGAAATCTTGACCCTGTTTAGGACAAAAATACTCGAAAAACCCTACCCTGTATAGGACAAAGAAACAAAGTAAGTAGACCTACCGGTACGACCTCAGTATTCTGTCAATGCGCGCTAGTTAATTATAATACCGATAAGTAGAAAAAAAAAATTAACCGACGACAATAGTATTCTTGTCCAGAAAATGATCTGATGCTGATTGATGATGACCTTGTAATGGCCCGTTAGCGTCTCTCGGCTCGTAATACCATACCCTGTTAAGGACAGGTTCAGACCCTGTTTAGGACAGAGGCGAGTAAAATTGTATACCCTGTTCAGGACAACGGGGCCAAAAAAACATACCCTGTCCAGCGGCACGTCCCCGTATAGCCCAAATAAGGGAGTACTCCCCACCCCCCGCCCCCTCCCCGGGGTCCAGATGTAATGAGTGACCGTGTTGTGGTCCTATTTATGTTGCCGGGCCATCGTTCAGATCATTCATCCTGTACGTTATATGTACAGAAATAATATCGTATCGTACAGAGAGTTTTGGTCCACTGTTATTTCAAAGGAGTCAGTGAATGTCACGCGCATCAAAACCAACCGGGATCAATGCACGTTCCGTACAGAAAATTTTTTCCCGTATCTCACTCGGGATTGGCTGTTCATACAATTACGTCACTCAGCCTGAATAAGCATTTCACTCAGGTGTTTGTTATTGCTCATCAGTGGTCAAAACAAGATAGCGTTAACTAACTAGAAAAAATCTTACTGGTCTTCACGAAACCCGATGGCATGTCTACAGACTGATTTCCAACTTGCTTTCAGTTGTTCTGCGACTAACTTCACATCGCTCGGTTTCTTTTGCGTCAAGTTGTAATCAGATCGGGGAAAAGTCTGCTGAGGGTGTTGTATTTGTAAACACTAAAGTTTGGTATCGACGATTGAATCCCAGGATTTGTACCAGGCGCTAGCTACTGAAGAAACTTTGTCTCCAACAGGCGTAGAGATGTCCTCTGTTCCCATTGCAGTAAGCCTCGTCAGGCACCAAAGGAACTCACACGAAGCTTTGAAGTAGAAAATAGACACCATGAAGACATGTAGCATTGAACCCACCGAAGAAAAAGGTGAAAAACAAAGTTCTAAACAACATGTTATTGTGAAAAGGCAAAGCTTGTCGTTCTACCATGGTCTCTCTACGCAAACAAAGAGCAGATAGAGATTCTGAAGAATTAAGGAGACTTGAAAACGAATCGGGTATAAGTTTTCATTAGTGGAAAGTTTATAGCTTGGTACAAAGTTTATAGCGCGATATCATGACGATCTTTAGGGAAAAAACTGACTCTGAATCTTCCTCGGTTTTACAAAGTGTACGCACGTGACTCTGATCTCGTGTCATTGCAGCAGCTGTTTCTGACGAAGGCGCTATGACAGGACTTGACTAAGCCGCTGATACTGAATACATCATTGGGCTTTAGTGAAGCAGTTTCATCACTGTTCCACATTTTGTGAATACTGCTAAAGTTTTTGAGTGCATTTTCACAATAAAATCATACAACAAAATATAATCAAGAGCTTTTTTAGACTTCTAATAAGACCAGGAGAGGAAGAAGAAGAAGACGAAGGAAAAAAGGGTGAAAAAAGGGTACGGTTTCCAGCCGTTTTGGTCGTAAATAGGGTATCGATTTTGGCCACTTTGATCTTAAATAGGGTACATGTATGGTTTTAGCACTCTAGTCTTGAATTGGGTATGTTTCTTGGAAGAAGCTATTTTTTCATCATTATCGATAAAACCGTCAAGAAAAGCCCGTCATAACTTATGATTAGGGCAACTGCGCCAGCCGCAACGGTCATAAATAGGGTATCGAATTTTTGGCCAGGTAATAAATAGGGTAGCAAATGTCGTAGATTTTGGTCATAAATGGGTAAGAGCTTTGGGAAGTGGACCGCACACCCCTACCCAACTTTTCTGGGAATACTCTTCCCCCTCCCCCCCTCCCCCCCGGACTGAAAAATTGTTCAATGAATTCATTTCCTGGGACTCTCTTTTTTAAAATTTAAAAAAAAAAATCAATCTTCTGAGTTGATTCCAAGATCCCAACTGACCATTCCGCTCGACAATTACTTGGGGATCAATTTGGGCTTATGTTAAACAAACATGGGTATCATGTCGGCGCTGGGGGATAATAATGATAACAAAAGTCTTTATTTGTTCACGAGAGCCATTGTACAGCAAAGTACAAATTTCGAAAAAACGTGGCCATGACGTGACCACGTGAAAATCGTACTCCGATGTTCTGATTGGCTGTTGAAAATGATCTTTGTACTTTCTTGTCGATGTTTTGTCTACGGGAAAGGATTCGATTTCAGTCAGTCGTGTTCGAACGAAGATGGAGTTTATGATGCGTTCATTCCTTCTTGAACGCGTTTCTACCGACTGGTTAAGAATTGCAGTTATCTCCAATTCACTCTGTGTTCTGTGATTCATCTTACAGTATTATTTCTGACTTGAATAGCGCGAAAATAACATCACAACATAAATATTTAGGTAAGATCGGAACGAAAGCTTGAGCTTATTCTATTCCACTCGGAACATACGATTTTACTCTAGTTCCTTGTCAATGTTTTGGCTTTCAGATATGTCTTCAGTTCCTATAAGCAAGGCCTACGTTTCGAAACGCTCTAATCGGGTGAAAAACAACCCTAAATGGACATTTTTTCACCATCAAATAGAGGAAAACAGCACTAGCAGACTTTCTCCGCTCGAATCACGAAAATACAGTGAAAATTTTGGGAGCGATTGCAAGGTTTCAGTACTGTGGGATGTCAGCGCCGTGCGATTGTACGTTGAAACAAGAAAATGATGGGACGGTAAGTTTCTGTGTTTGTTTTGGATCTCTGGCTTTGCTTGGCTGCAGATCAGACTTAAGGGCTTACATCGTTCGATTTAGTTATATTCAGTCATTAAGCTTACATTCGTTTCGGGTACAATACAGAAGTAACGTACGAATAAGCCTTATATATTTTGTTTTTTGAAATAACGACTCCTTTTCCTGTTCTATGCTTCAGGGGTTGTGGTTGAAATGTTAAGCTTATGTCAGTACATGACAATTGAATACCAATGAAATGTCTTGGCATACATTAAGTCAAATCTTCCTGTTGATTGAACAAATTTCTAGTTCATTTCAATTTTTATTGTCTTCAGTTTCTTTTTCATCCGATGGGCTTGTACATCGAATGGCAAACTACAATTATAGCAAATAAATACTGTCCTAAAATCCCAGATCTCAGTCAAATTTCAGAATAACTGAGCTAAATTTCAGGGCCATTCCATTTGATCTCCAGCTCCCCTCTCCTCTTCCCCACCCTCTATTAACAAGGTTAGTCAAAATTTACCAGCTAAGGCCCCATTTGTATGGTCTCAGGTGCCCAAGTCAACCCTCCCCCTGAGGCAACTTTATCAAGCGTTTGTATGTGAAAACATTGTCTCTGTAGTCGGAGTCAAAGTTGACCCACCATGATTATTCATAACCCTTATTGAATAATCAAATGTACAAATGTCCCTCTTTCTTTGAGTTTCCCTTGATCATTTGATCAAAGTACAAATTTCTGCTTAAATCCTAAATCAAGGAATTACATGACACTCGCCACACCAAGAATTGTCCCGGGTTAGGCGAGGCAAAGTGTTTACATGAAGAAAAGTTGTCCCGCCTGCCAGGGCTACCCTACCTGCCGTTGCAAGACAACTCGCCCACCCAAGTTGTCACGCCCCCAAGATGAGTTTGTGATCCTCTTGCAAATGTTTGGTTGAATTTTGCAAAGAATTAAGTGCAAAACTAATGAATGAGTTGCCAGCAATCGGATACCTGTGTTATGTGCAGAGGACTCTGGGATTGCCAGGGGGCAAAAAATGCAAATCACTAGACGGAAATGTACAGCGTAAAGTGTTTTGAGGTGCAAAAAAAAAAAATTTGGGAGAGAGCGACGCTTTTTCGACTCTTACCGATGTTTTGTTTATGTTTTTAAAAATCTGACAACTGGTATGCCATAGGGTAGGCCACAGGGTAGGCCACGGGGTAGGCCATGGCCTACCCCATGTTTTGTCCACACCTTCTTGAGAGGCTACCTGGTGCAAATGGTAGAAAGGACCCTCTAAGAAGTTTAATATATAAAAGACAGAAAAGAAGCTCTAAAACAAAAGACGGGAATGCACAAGAAACGTCTACCCTTTGTCATGCGATTTCAACTGATTTTGTTTTGCCAAAAGAAGAGCATAATCATGGTCAAATGGCATTTTTAAACAGAAAGACTTGGAGAGATCATTCAAGGAATCACCCTTGATCTGTCATAGAAAAGGAAAATCGCTTAAAGATGTGCTTGTAAAAGCAAAACAACTTTAGGCAATCGCCAGACAGCATGAGCCGCGTGGTCTGTCTACTCTTAATCAACCCCACACAGCTCAATGATTGCCACCGGGCTTATTTTCAATATTTTTGTATAACTGAGCTTCAAAATCATCCAAAAGTAGCCTGTACATAACTTAAAAGGCTTTACAGGGTTATTTCCTCTCGATTTATACCTAATTTTGTAATATTTCAGACCATTATTCGATGTAAATTTCACAATAAATCTCATGCAAGCAGAGGAATTTATCAGTAGATTTTATCACATATTTCACGGTTATTCAAACAAAAGCTTACATTTTCCATGTATTTACACTGCCCGAAACCACTTGCAATAAAATGACAGAGAAAAAGCATTGATCTTTCTCCAAAATCCTTTTTTTGTACCTCAAAACAACTTTTTACTATACATTTCCTTTTAACAATTCACAATGGTTGCCCCCTGACGATCCCAGAGTTCTTTGCCCAAACACCAGTATGATATCTGATTACTGGCAATTTATTAATTAGGCTAGGCTAGGCTAACTAGCCATATAAATGGGGCCTAAGAAAAAAAAGTGGTCATGATTCCCCTCCCTTCAGAAATAAAGTTACTTTTCTTTACACTGAAAAAGCAATTTTTGTTCAAACGTTTCCTTAAATCTTTAGATGAGTAGTCGTATGCCTTGTAGAAAAAATTCATTTATTGGAGAGGAGAGGGGTAGAGAAAGAATAGAATGCCCCCCTAACCAGTGTCTTGCTGTTAAGTTTGTGATTTGAATCAAGAAAAAATTATAGGTCTGGAAGGCTGCAGTTGAATAGCTTTGCAATCCATAACTTCGTTGAACATTCAAAATTTTAGTTGAGGAATCACTTGCTGATCTGCCAGGATTTCACGATATTCAGTAATTAATCGACCCATGGCTCATCAACAAAATCCCATGTAATCTTGTAGCTAATTATTTCTGTAATTTCTTGTTTTGATCCATGGATATTTATATATTTTAATTTTTTTTCTCAGGATAATACAGCGGATTGCCTGTACTGGATCAGGAATTAATAACACACCCAGATGTATGTTCATCAGACTTTGGTTGGCGCATCAAGTCCCAGGAACTTCAACAATTACGTGTATTATCACTGAGCCAGTGCAGTATTCTCTGAACTGTGTTTCATAACTTGTACATAGCAATATAGAGAGTTAAATGCTTTTACATGTATCTGAACATAATAGCATAATATTATAAGAAGGATTGAAGAGTCATGTAGTGTTTACCATTAAGCCGAAAAAATCTGGAAATTTTTGTTGAAATTCAAATGTATTAGTGACAATTTATAGAAAACTTGTTCAGAAATTTTGGACTGCCATGACCTCCAGAGGTACTCCTCTTGTTCTGTTTGGAATGGCATGTTCAAAATTTTCTTATTATTTTCTCAGACATTTCTTATATTAATTTTCAAGTCGTTCATGAATTAAGGGAATTGGTGCAAGCACCATCTCTATTTTGTTAGTTTGCTTATTTTGGAAAAAAAAAACTTTTCATATTATTCAACATTCATTGGTCTACTTCTGACATTTTTTTCAAGAAATGGTTACACATAGCCCTCACAATGTTCCTCTTAACACTATCAGGTTCTAGAAATCTTCTGGTTACGTAGTTTTTCAAAAACTATTTAAGTAAGAGGAAAGAAATTGGCCTTCTTGTCATTGGGATATTTTTCCCGCACAGTGTAGAATTTATTGTCAATATATAGTAAAATGAGAAGAAGATAGTTTAAGTTTGATGGCTTTTACACCCAGATCTTTATTCAAATGATACATATTAGTTGTTTTCCATTTGGAAAAAAATTCCAAAAAATTTGGTGAAGAATCTGTGTTCCAGGGCAGCTGATTGTTTTCCACTTGTAGTTTCCTGAAGAACCTGCCATTTGTTTGTCTTAGGTGCAAAATTTGGCATGGCAATAAGAGGCCGAAAGGCTTGAAACTAGTGCAAACAATACAAGACAGTAAATAAAACACTAATTTCCAAAGTTTTGGAGCGGCCCAATAGAAAAACAGGATTACTTTTGAAAGGTTCTGTTCTGGTGAAGTCATCATCCACTTAAGACCAAACCGAAAGGTTACAAGTGACTATTTTCTTTCCAACCTAGAATTTCCCAAATTTTTCTGTGAATGGAAAACAACCATACTGCAGTTAAAGCTGTGTATTAATTAAATGTATATTTATTGTTACTACATAATAAGTATTTAATGAAGAATAATCATTCAGTATTTGATAAGGCTTCAACAGTCTATTAGTTGAAGCACAAGTCAATTTAACAAATCAAATGTGGTTTAGCATGGTAGACCACATTTTGATTTGTTTTTTACCACTATCAACGTCAAAGAAAATTTTTCTTCAGAGCGCGAGCTTAAAAAGGCATTGCATGACACATTGACGCAAGTAGCGTTGTCTGGGCTCTTATCAACAACGGCAAATTAACCAATCAGATAGCGAGATTAGTAGCAATTATGGTAAAAACAAGTTTTGACATCTTAAAATGGTCCCTGTTGAAGATATGCACTAACTTGTTTTTATAAATTTATCAATTTACAATCAGAATATATTTTGAATGAGAGTATTTACAGTGTAAATAAAGATACATGGATTGATATGACTTCCATTCATTGAGGGAAACACATGCAAAATTGATTGCGATATATATATTTTTGATCTTGTTTTTTAACCTGGAAAAGCTTATTTCCTTGTGTGTCCAGCTTTGTCCTGACATACTTGTAATCTTTACCCATGGGCTATTTAAGTCTTAACATTTCATGCAAGTTTGTCCCATGTATTTTCAGTTTAAAGCTATCCCAAAATAATAAGAATGACAGTTAAAACATCAGAGTGGAAACTTTTGCCCGGATGCCAGATGGACACCTGCAAAATGTAGGTCTCTAGTCTGGCTCTTTTGTTCATACTTGGCATTTTGAACTTAATGTGTTCACTGTAGCAATCCACTGACAGGATAGGTAACATGTAGTAATTTAGATATATATTGATGTAATTTGTATATGCTAGTGAATAAAGATTGAATGATTTCATCCAAAATTCTCCTGACTGCTGGTTTTGATGGACTTTCTAAAGCAAAGCAGGTTTCACCAGTTAGTAACTGGAAAGCGAACAAAAGTTGCTTGTTTGAAAACCACACATTGTGGGGGGAGGGGGGGGGGGGGGGGGGAAGAATATCAAGCTCAGGGTTTTTCCAGCTCATGATGAAGGTTCTGGGGGAGGGCGTGGTATTGGGTAGGATTCTGTAGACTGCAGACCAAAAACAACACACATTGAGAACAGTATCTGACCTTTGTTATTGTTGTTGCTTGTTTTGCTTTTATATGTAAGTCCATTCGTTTTTCTCCATGCTTGTCATATTCAGAGTATCTTGTGAGGCTGGGTTCAGGGTGGTCAAACTGCATCATTAGCTTGGGTTTCAGTTTAAATTCTTTAGGTCTTACGGACCCCCTGCCTCCCCCCCAGGAAATTCCAATCCCCACTGTGTAGGGAGTATCAATATTTTATGGAAGTGCACAATGTTGTTATTCCCTGGGTGCCGGGCATTTGCCTGGTACCTGAATCTTTTTTTTTTTTTTTTTCCCCTGTCTCCTCAAATTATGACAAAATTTTTACCAGCACAGCTCAATGTGTCGAAAATAGAACACATGGTAGACCTGTGACTTTTCAGGTTCTGACTTGAATATCCTACTGGTCAGTGGTATCTCGTTTTAATTCTAAGGCCGCAATGACATCATGGTCAATAATATTTCAGGAGCGAAGTTTGTTACGATTGTTCCGACAGTTTACCCTTGATTTTATGTTGAAAAAAATTGCTGTAGGCCTATAATGCCGTTATTTTCTAGTTCTTCACCCTTTGACCAAGATGTTGGTGAGTAGAATCACATTGCTGTCGCTTTCCTACAGCTTTCGTAGTAGACAACAAAATGTCTAACAATTTACCATTTCAACAACAGAGAAAGCGACAAGTGAACTCAATACCACGGACGACTGGCAACTTATTATGGAAATCTGTGACCGTATTCCACGGACATCGTCTGGGTTTGTTGATAAATCTTCATTTTAGCGAGTTCTTTTTATTCTTTTAGAGCGGTCGCGCAATTCACATAGGAAAGAATATTCAAGTATCGCCCATTCATTTGATGTTAGCACGTACGTAAGCTTGATATGAAAGACACGTTTCGCTTCCGTATAGTTCTGCCAGAGTGAACCAGTTGATCTTAGAAGGTTACTGATACCTGGTATTTATTCTGAGGTGGGAGATATTGCTGTAGAGTTTTAGACTTGATTACAGCAAGCTTCTCAATCTGCTATAGCTTCTTGTAAAGGTGATACACGTAAGACTAGAAGTGTGATGTGATGATGCGCTTCAGACAAAGGTACAAAGCTAGCTTAGTTATTCATGTTTTAGATTGAGGTAATATTACATGTACATGATAGGAGTTTAGGTATGCAGAGAATCGAGGAGATGTGGTTATGAAACATTTTGCTTGAAATACACACTTCTCTTCAGTCAAGAAAATAATACGTGTTCAGCTGCACCTCCTGGTGACTGTAAGAAACAGTCTTTAGTGACATCATTATGACATCATCAAGACAGTACATTGTATCATGACATCACACTTTACCTTGCAGAGTGTTGAAACCACACACAGCTTAAACGTAGGCTGCCTTGAACGTTCTTACATGTACCACAATGTTGTACAAGTAGTGTTTAGCCATGAACCAAAAGCATGCAGTTGCTTATTCGACTTCTGAAAACCATCTGGCCTCAAACTTCGATGATATAAACTTTTATGCAAATGATGTCTTCTAGGGTGATGTTGCATAAGCCCTTTTTTAATGTCGATTTTTTACACAACATTTATTGCATTAAAAATCGAAATCAATGTCATGTAACATGGTGTACATGGCAACCTTAAATGCAACCTTAATTTTTGTGACATTGTTGTCCAAATTTTAATTTTCAGAGAATGTTGCATTAACATCACCTTTATGGTTTTAAAATTTTGAATGTATAATGTTCAAGGGCAAAAAACACAACAAACTGCAGGAACAGTGGGAAGATTGAACTTACTTTGCAGAGAACCTTTTATATTCCTCTAGGTTTTGCCTTTCCATAAATATACAAAAAATAGCCTCTGTTTGGCAAGAAAATATGGTGGATATTATTTTTTCTATGGACATTATGTGTTCTAAGAAGCGAACAGTTTTCCCAGAGTGTAGCTCTGAAAACTGTAAGCTTTGAGGAACAAATAATGTCCAAGGACAAATATCCAAGCATATGTTCATGCTAAATGGAGGCTACTGTGTTTTTAATTTTCTTCAAATCTTTTTCGCACCACATGCAGTTTTGAAGAAAATTGTGGAATATCACTCAGATGTTCCCCAGTTTTAGCTGGTGCATATTCAGTCATGTGAAGCATTTAGATGGATTGTATACTTGTAAAAATATACCGTGGGGTCACAATTGTAGAGATTGTGCTTACCTGGCCAACCATGACTCATCAGTAAGTTGGTGGATTATAAATTCAACTACTTGTATAGTGGAATCCCAATTTCTCAAATACTTGATTTTTCAAACCTCCAATAACTCAAACCAAAACTTGTCTTTTCCCTCTCCTCAGTCAAACACTGTAATATTTTACCCCCAAATTTCTTGAACCACATGTACTCTATTTTTGAAACCAATTTTTGTTCCCATGGAGGTTAAAAAAAAATTGGGATTCCACTGTCTTAGTTTATCCTTAGGGATGTATCATATTGATTTCCTAATGCATAATCATAAGTTATACTTTTCTTTTTAGACCCAAAGATGCATTACGTTCAATAATGAAAAGAGTAAACCATAGAGTTCCCCACGTTGCTATTCAAGCACTTACAGTAAGTTTTTAAGTAACGCTATACCTGTGTTCCGTTGGGATGATATGGATCAGGATCAACGATCCAAGATCGCTTGGATCATGGTGCATCTAAGTAATCAATGAATCCAGTCGGAGTAAGGATTCATCAGGTCCATTGTTATGCCATGATCCCAGTGGTTTTGGATCGATGATCTTGATCCTGCAGAGGAACTTGTATGTACATGTAATTGTACAGATATGCCCCTTCTTATCACATCTAGAAGGACTTGTTGTCCAGTTAGTGTTACTCTTATTGAACCTTTGGCTCATTTTCCCTACAGAGTGTTATAATAAGTTACATCTACATCTACATTTATTAAGTTGGTAAAATCATTAAAGACATCACACCAACTAAATTATAAAAGTTGGGTGTTCCAGGCACATTTGTTTAGATATAATTATGTAAAATTTCAAAGAGTCGGTTGGTACATGTAGTTGTTATGCTGGCCTGTTCTCTTGGAGATTTCCCATTTAAGATTTCTTGTGAGCGGTTATGATCATCTGTAAATAAATTGTTTCTATTGTTTGCAATCACTAACAAAGTCAATTCAATTAATGAGGCAAGACTAGACAAGTGTGTTTCTTACTGTAGGTTCATTACTACATACGTTCCTCAAAGTGGTGTGTTTTTCTCGTTTGATAATTTAGCTCCTATCTGCTTGTGTGAATAATTGTGATAAAGTGTTCCACTTGGAAGTGTGCTCCAGGGATTTTGTCAATGAGGCAAAAAGTATAATTTCAAGGGTAAGTACTGTTACAGTAATATTACAGTTCAGAAAAAAAAATACAAAATAATAGAAATAAATTCTGCTCCTTCATCTTCTCATCGACTAAAAATGTATTAACAAGTGCATAATGTTTCAAAACAGCTTTCTGTTTCATGTGTTGAGTTACAGTTGTACATACATGGACATCAGCTGGGAGTAGCACAAATAGCAAAGCGTGTGAGTGACATCATAACTCAGACAAACAAAATGGAACGGTGGAGAATTTGACACTTTTTCATGCGTGTAAGCGAGTGTTCCTAAAACAATTTTTAAAATGAGAATTTGGCCTTCATTTTCCTCCTATTTCTGTCAGAATGCGCTAATGTTGTCTGACTCTCGCGGGGTTTCAATAATTTGCATTCTATTTTCAGACGTCATCCCTGTGATGGCACGTAAGGTTGAACATTCCAACGCTGGTGTAGACCTCAGTTTGTACTTGTACATGTACATGTTATTAAGGTTCAGAAGTTGGTTTCAATAGAGACTGTGCTGTGTTTGTAGCATAGTTTTGTTATGTGATGAACACTTTTCTGGATGGATTTTGATCAGTTGTACCATGTTCATCATTTTGTTTCTAGGGACATCCCAAAGTAACCGAAAAACTGAAAAGCCTGATAAAGGAGTGGTCTGTTAGCTTCAAGGATGACCCACAGTTGAGGTATACAATTTTGTGTGTTATTTTTTTTGTTAACAATTACAGTCCAACCTCTCCATGGATACAGACACCTCTCTAATATGGACACCTCTCTAATACGGACAATTTCCTATTTACCGGCAAAATTCTCATACATTTCCTCTAAAAAACCTCAGTCTATAATACAGACCCTCTCTAAAATGGATGACAGGCGCTAAATCTTGCAAATACAGTACAGTGTAATCAAAAATACTTCTGTGGAAACTTACATGTAAAAGTGACATCATCATAGTGACCTCCAATATGGACACCTCTCTAATATGGACACTTCGCTCTGTCCCTTCCGTGTCCATNGTTGTTTTTCATGACTCTAGAAGTTTGATTGTTTCATTCAATATTTGTAGCCCAAGGTCTCTAGTTTGTATCCAAGCTTCAGTTCACCTTCACCAGCTCCTGCAAGAAGGGTAGGTGTCCTGTTTGAACCACAGCATATCCAGTTATTTGATCTGCTTTCAACAAGTCAAAATTGAAATTATTAGTTATCACCTCTATGACATCTATGTAACAGGATTCCATTCTGTTTGGTTTGATCAATCATATTTGAATAAATTTCAATGGCATGTGGTAGGGTGGGGGACATTGTCTTTGTAACACTTGCCATTGCCATGGCAACTACAACCTGATGCTTGAGTGATTTTGATTAATAAGTTCTCTTTGAATCCAACAGAAATTTATGAAACTGAAATGCAAAAACATTTATCAGTACAAGCAAAAAAAGCAAGCTACGACCTTAAAGAAAGACAATATAGCTTTCAACTGAATGTCTTTTTGTATTATGTTAGGTTGAGGCCAAAAAAGTCCGAGCGTTGTACGATTTTGAGGCAGTTGAAGACAATGAACTTACATTCAAGTCTGGAGAGATAATATCTGTTCTTGATGACAGGTTGGTTCCTAACCTAATCTTGTTTTGCTGAACATTTCTTTTATCAAACGCCTACTGTTTGTTGTCCGGAGGGGTGGGGGGAGGACTCCCAGATGAAAAGGACTGGAGTGCTCGTCGGAAATTTTGAAAAGAACCTCTGCCAAGATCCTGTTTTGTGGGTGTGGCTTGAAACTTTTTTCACCCCTAAGAGGAACCAATTCTAAAACAACACATGCTCTCCTGTCATTTTGTTCGACCCAATACCCTAAAAGGTACCGCAAAAGCTTCTACTGTGGACCTTTTGAGACTGCACACCCAAAGAGGTACCAAACCCGATCTTTTAACCCCTACAGGGTACGACGAGGCACCCTCGTCCTTTTCCTATGGGAATCCGCTCCAGGAGGTTTGTTGTTCCGTAGACCACAAGCGATCCCTGCAACCAGCCTGCTAAACTGCTTTCCAAGAGTACAAATACTGTGAGACACTTGTGTTCAGTTCGGCGTTATTTGTACTCTGCGGAGTGCATTTGGATGATAAATACCTCGTACTAATG